ATCTAAATAATCAATATAAGAATGAAAACCCAAAGAGGTATGTGTATTACAAGAAAGTTATAGATCATTTTGCAGATAATAGTTTAAGAGAAACCAAAGAGAACTTTAACATGCTGAGAAATGTTTTCTATGGCCTATCCAGCCAAGACTGTGAGATTAGAAGCTGGGTTACTAAGGATATTAAATAGCCCTAAATGCATAAACACAAAAAGCATGTTCATTTTTGCAGAGAATAGTTTAAGAACAATCAAAGAAAACTTAGTTTGCTGAGAAAGTTTACTATGGCCATATACAGTCAAGAACATAACATTAGAAGCTGGGTTAGTAAGGATATTGTATAGCCTAAATGCATAAGCACAGAAAGCAGGTTCGGGTACTCAATTTATATGATGAAGAACATAGATTAATCAGGAAAAAAGAAGATTTAATTTTAACTCCTCTGATAACTGTTGTGTGACACAGTGTCGCCTACCAACATCAAAAAAGGAAATATTTAGAGAAGAAATCATCAAAATATTAGCATTTGAAAACATTTTGCAACCAACAGTTATATGGTTTCTTGTTAAAAAAAAAATCTACAGCTTTAGGGCAGAAGAACTGTGTCTATAGAACCATATCACCAATTATAGGCAGTAAGTGTCATCCAAACCTTATTTTAAATGTTGTCCTCGCATTTTATTTGAGCCAAGTTGGTAAGTTGATTTCTTGTATTCACAAAATTAAGTCGGGAAAATTTTCTGTATGTCCTAGTCCTAAAATCCTACAAGACCCACATACTCTTGAAACCTTAGCCAAGAAACCTCTTCGAATAAAGAGGCTGCTAAAAAAACAATCATAACCCTTGGGAGGCCACATCACCAATTATTTAACTTATCAGAGAGAGGCTTCGATGATCTAATCTAAAACCAGCTGTGATGGCCACTGGTTTTCTCATAATTTAGTTTCTACTCTAGAGTTCCCTGTTTTCCTTTCGAATAGACTAAGAAGAAGAAGAAGCCCACAGGGCAGTAGGGAATGTTAGTGAGTATAACCCCAACCTGAACAATTAAGTGGCATAACAATCTCATGTCTTTTTACCTAAGATATTGCACGACAGCCTTGAGCTGAAATAAAGAATGACTAGTCTATTCATGTAAGAAAGTCAGTTTCCAAGCAGGATAAATGAAAGAAAGTCAATTTGTAAACTAGTCCTCCTCCTAAGCCACTTAGAGATCCAGCTTAAGTTGGAGGTGTTAATTTTTTTTTTTTAAATAAAAGAATAAATATATTAACAAAGCACCAAGGAGGTAAAACCCATGTACAAAAAATATTTACATTTTAGTAAAGCAATCAATCACATACCCAAAATTTTCCATCCCACACAAGTCATGCTCAAACAAAAGCGACCCAAATAAATGCTGCCACCTATCTTTAATTTTTCTAATATCACTATCTACCCCATCAAAAGCCCTCTTATTTCTTTCCTTCTATATAACCCAAAAAATAGTCAAAGGTATAAGTTGAATAAAACTTCTATTTATACTAATAACATCCCAAGCCAAATCTCCTCACTCACCGAGCCCGCCACAACCCATCCCAAGCAGGCCATAAATCATAGTCCACATGTTGTAAACAGCCAGGCACCATAACAATAGATAATTGCATGACTCAGTCTCCTGTTTACACATATAGCAGCCGTTCGCCTTTCTCTCTCTTCATCAAGTTATCAATGTTCAAAATTCAGTTTCTACAAGCTTCCCAAGTAAAGAAAGAGATCTTAGGTGGTGCTTGAATCCTCCAAATCTGTTTAGCAGAGAAGTACTCCGGTCTAGCGTCATCAATATTCATTAAGTGATCTTTTTTTTTTTTGAAATAAAAGTGAGAAATGTTATTCACAAAGGTACAAAGGGACGTCCATTAAGCGATCATAGTAGGACTTGACAGAAACCTCCCATTTTTCTTAAGCTTCCAGACCACATTATCCTTATCAGTAGACACATTCACACTAGCCAGCAACCTAAGCAGATTTTCATATTCCTCCACCTCCCAATCATTGAGATTTCTCATAACATTCACGCCCCCCCCCCCCCCCCCAATCTCCCCGCACCACCAAAAGCCTCCTCAACTGTGATGCCCTTCTCCTGTGCAGCAGCAAAAATCTTGGGAAATCGGCCTGTAAGACACCCCCCCTCTGCCCAGTCGTCCAAACAGAAGCTGTGACCCTGTCACTCCTTCCCAACTTCCAATTTATGCATTTAGCCAATTTACTGCTGCCCATACAAATGCTTCTCCACAGCTCACAGTCATAAGGCCCACCCTACCACCCCACCAACCGCTACCACTCCAGGACCCCCAGCGTGCCTCAACTACCCTTCTCCACAATCTGTCTTCCCCTGTCAAGTATCTCCAAATCCACTTACCATGCAAGGCCCTATTCATCTCCACCAAAGATCTAATCCCTAAACCTCCTTGCCACAAGGACTTTTTCACCTCTTTCCAATTAACAAAATGGTATCTTCTTCTATCTACAGCACTAAATGCTTTCCCATCTTTTAGCAATCTTGATTAGAATTGTGATAGCTGATAAGTAATATATAGGAATATTGGATAAGGTAATTTTTACTAATGTTAGCCTTTCCCCTTTAGACAACAAATTTCTCTTCCATGTGGCCAGCCTCCTCTCAAAAATCTCAATCACCAGATCCCAATGTGTTGATAGGGCCATTGCGGGCAAGTATAGGTTTCAATGTTCGTAGTCTACCTTGTAAACCAATAAGGACAACACTTTATTTATGACTACGGTAGTTGCCATCCTTCTAGTTGAAGTACTAGTTCGGGCAGATATAGTTCCAGTCCATTCTTAATTTCTAGCTTCGGGCCAGTTCCAGCAAGCTCGGTTAGGGTAAAGATAAAGATCCATCTTAGTCAAGATTGTATAGTGTTATAAATGGCTTTCCATAAGAAGAGTTAACTGAAGAAGGATAACACATAGATTTTGTTTAGACGAGAAGAGAAGCTGTCTTTTAAGCCAGCACCGTACACTCTATTTCTTGTTCTACAGGTAATTGGTTGAAAGTCCTTGAAGTTATCCAAATACCAGTAGTAAGAGCAAGGATATCTTGTGATAGGTTTTCCATTAATGCCAGTCGCAGGACTTATATAGGATTTCTTCCTTGATTTAATTTGTTTCTTCCTGTATTGAATCTTCATTACCTCCTTTTCAAAGCCATCAGACAAGTGAAATACTGTAGCAAGCCCTCTTATTTGATTGATATAGGAAGGCAACTAATTGTCTAGCTTAAATCTCACTGGAATCCATTACCTGGGAAAAGACCTACAAAACCTTGACAAAAGTGGAGGAATATCTAGCATAATCGACAGTGGAAGGCGGAAAGGTACTTATGAGACATACTTAAGAGGATATTGAAGAATACAGTCCCTTCTAGCAAGTTGGAGATGGAGTGGAAGTACTTCTCTTTTCTATTCCCCTTCTGCATTTTTTTTTTTTTTTTGAATTTCTCCCTTTATAGGTAATTGAGCAAATGCTCGAAGACCTATTCTCTCTTAGTTATAATGAATGGTTGTTGGCCTAGTTGCTTGGAACCCATATCAATTTAGAGGTGAGGACTTCAAGGGATTCATAGAGCAAGTTTTTCTCATTCTGGAAGGAGCTTGCATATTTCTCCTCAATAACTTCAAGCATGAAGAGCAAACGAAAATATTTGGGCCAAACCAGCAAACTGGTTCTTTTCTTTTAATTATGAGAGTTATTACTTAAATAATAATTAAGAGCATTCTTATAAAGACAAAGCCATTGGCCTTAGTGGTCATCTCTAAGCCACGTTCAACACCTGCTGGGTACATCTAGCCTTATCTGTACATAACAAAATCAGTACTTCTTCTATGACACCAATGTATTCCTTCTACCAAAACATAGTAGATTTAATGTTCCATCCATTAACTGCCGGGTTCAATATATTTTTCCAAAGGAAACAATAATTTTGGCACCATGATTAGATAGACAAGATATGCATGATATAAGCATATATTCATATTTAACAAATCAATTATGAATTAGTCTTCCCAAGAGAATTGTAAACACAGCAGTGTTTCCTAAAATTCTGAAAAATGATACGAATTTTTTTTTTTTTTTTGCAAAAGAAAAAAAGACCATGGGATCTTTTTCCATTTGTTAATAATCATTTACCCAAAGAAAAAGCAGCAACAGAAAGATTCTTGAATAGTTGGCTGCTCTAGTGCATAATTATTAGTTTACAAGAATGGGGCTCAAGGGAGCAATTACCTCTCAAGCGATATGCAACGCTAAGATTTTGCATGAATGGATAAACCAGAATTCTCTCAGATGAGGTTGTACAAAATCCAATTAGCCGTAGGAGATTCCTATGGACAGCAACGCTTATGAGTTGGACTTCCCTATGGAATGCAGCCTCTCCACCAGGGTTACAATAATCTGCAAGACGTTTTACAGCAACTTTTGTGTTGTCTGAGAGGACACCCTTGTAAACTTTTCCAAAACCTCCTTGTCCAATTATGTTGCTTTCGCAGAAATTACCAGTTGCAAGTTGAAGTTCACGCCAAGAAAATCTTTTAACCTGCCCCAAGGAAATTTTACGATCATCTTCCCCTAAAACTCAGAAGTGCACAAGTTAGTTCTTCGAGAACCATTGTGGTGCTCCAACATGAAACCTAACTGCCAATATCAGCAGCCAGCTTTGTATCTCCCATGACAGGAAAGAATTATAAAAGTCATACAGAAAAAAAAATCAGAGCAACATTGGTATATTTGCAATTCCAAAGCTGTTAATTTTAGAGTATTAGATATTTCTACGGGAGGATTCAGAGTATTAGATATTTAGGTTGAAATGACAGGATATATATTTTCTCATAAAACTAAAGAGCAGGGGAAAGAAAATCACCTGCCACATCAACAAAGATATCATGTTTCAGTTTGCACAGTTGGTAATACCGGTATACACAGATAGCCCCAAGCAACAGAAGTACGAACACAGCACAACTTGCAGATGCACTTACAACTCTAAGTTTAGACTTGCTTGTAGAACTGCAAAAACATGTCAGGTTGAGGTACCACATAAAGAATTCAGACTTAAAAATCAAGCAATAGTCTGGTTTTAAGAATAAACCTGGAAGAGGAGAAGCCGAAGTACATGGTTGACCCAAGCTAGAGCCACAAATGAGATGTGTTCCTAAAAAACTGATAGGAAACACATATCAGTGAACAGAAAAATAAGAACAATAACGTTTTTATCAAACAATAATGAATATCTGGAAGAGACATAAAAATTAGGCAGTATAGGAAAGAAATTGTTAAAAATATTACCGACCTTTTAACTCGTATGAAAGCAAATAAATTTAGATATTTTGAAGTAAATATGCAAACCAAATTGGAAAATCAGGTTAAAGGTTTACGGCTTATAATATTTAACTTCACTTCACAGGGAAGGGCAGCTCCTCATGGTTACTAGGACGGTCAATTAATTCCACTTAATTGAAAAAATAATAAACCAGTCCGTTATAAATATTTCTTAACAAACAAACAAACAAACAGTACCACCCTTTTCTCATCAAATGAAATGTCAATCCAATTGCATAGAAGCAAAATATCATTGTACTTGCATTAAAAAGTCTACTGAAACCATTTTCTGAAGTAATTTAATGGAACACAAATGAAATAGAGTTCCAACGAAGCTTACTTGAATGTTGGAATGGAGAAGAATTGCACTGGGATTCTCCCACTTAAATCATTGGATGACAGATCCCTGTTAAGTAAAGTAAATGTTACACAATGATCACAGAGATTACTAGTATAGAGTTCTGACATTTAATACTTCCTAGTGCCATAAGCAGCTAAACTTTTGTATAGACAATGATGGAAGACTTAGGTGTTGGTTCCTGACAGTTCTGCCAACCATCTAATAGTTTCAATTGAATTAGAAACAGACCCAAATAAGTGGTATAGAATATCTACTGATCTTTTACAGTTCCTGGGAAATAAACAAACTGAAAAGCCAGACTATATTAGTTTATGCTTAAAGACAGATGTGATGTTACACAATGAAATGAAGAAAAGTTTAGCATAACCAAGATAACATTGGTACATAGAATATACCAAGCCTGTTCAAGGATGCCTCTTCAAACAAACAAAGAAAGTTTTGAGTCTATGAAAAAGGGAGAGAAAAGGAAACAAAAAGCTGGCCTTACAGGAGCTTTAAGTTGGATAGCTGGCCCCATGTCACAGGTACGGATCCTCTGAATTTATTATTTGATAGATTTAGAGTTTGTAGGCGAACCATGTTGCCAAGGAAATCTGGTAAAGGACCAGATAGATGATTGTCTTGCAATTCTCTGTACAGAATAGACTAATGTTTTAAAGCCTTCCCAAGAGCTTCTGACCTGAATATGTACCTTTTGATAAAAAAGCAAAAAAAGGAGGACATGGTAGAAGCAATTACATACAGAGGGGAAATAAATAAACAATCACAACATAACTTATTTGCCTTTAAAGTGAATGACAAAAAAGGACAGAAAAGAAAGAACGCTTTTCTGTTAGAGCATTAATAATAGGTGAAAATATCAATCATTAAACTCGGAATCCTAAGAAGATGGTCCAGCACAACCAAAGCCCTATTCCCTTTAGTTAAAGTACATTGTGTAGCTTATGCGTGTGCATTAGTTCTGCTTTTCAATAATTTACTTGCTCTGCTTTAGCACTTTTCCAGTTTTTCTTTCTGTCATGCGTTTATCAGATTCCAGTCTCCTTCCCCGCCCCCTTTTATTAAAATAGAAATAAATTACAATTCTGAAGGGTAGAATATCCTCCTAAAGCCTTCTAACTCGTGAAGACCAAAAATTTACAGCAGAAAAAAACAAAAAAAAATGAAAATCAGTATATTATCGCCTCCAAATTTCTGTCTAAAAGTTTGCTTCCCTCCTAAACATTTTTCATTTCACATAATCAGTGGTATTCTTTTTACCAGCTATATATTGACAAGTATGTAAGTTCTATTTCCAACAATTCACATTGCTTCAGCACTTTTTCAATTTGTCCTTGTCTCACACTTCCCCTTCAGACTCCATTTTCCTTCACATTTTTCTTGTGTCATACTTCACTTCCTCTACTTTAGAAACTTGCCCAATTTCTTTCTGTCGTACTTTCCTTCATATTTCAGTTTCCTTCCCCTTAAACATCTTTTTTCACATAATTAGTATTATTCTTTTTTTTATCCAAGAATTGGTAACTAAATGCTTCAAATTTTATTTTGAAAGGGTGCAGGAATTCCTTAAAGGACAAAAAAATGGGGAAAAGGGGCCCATTGTCTAAATGCTGTTCAAGCATTGCTAAACATCTGTATCTTAATATATAAATATTCCAACCAATGCTTGACTAACATAATGACTGAGATGAATTATAACAAGTACTAGCTATGAGTATCCAGCCATTACAATACAAATATCATCAAAATCAGCTGCAACATATTTAAAAATCGAAACCTTATCCATCACTAAGAAACTTACAATCTCACCAAGAACCTTAGTTTGGTTATTGAAGGTGATAGTGTTCCTGAAAATCCATTTGAAGCTAGGCTCCTGCACACAATACATCTAAAAAGTTGAATTTGATGTGAAAGATATTACTGAATTCAACCAAAAAAAAAAAAGAGGAAAGGATAAATCACTATTCCATTAAATGCAGCATGTATCATAAAAATAGATACACTTACAGGCTTACAACATTGCCATTTCTACAAGTAATATGTGACCAACTAAAGCACGGGCTCACAAAATTCCGATCCCAATCTGTTATTCGGCCATCTGAATCATTGAGAGCACCTAAAACCTCCAATAAAGCATCACCTAAAGCATGTGTAAAAAAGTGCAAAGAATCATGACCTTGAGAAACAGGAGATATGGAATCGATAAAAGAGCGATGTGCCACTTCAATGGACCAGCAGACTTTAGCATGAGTAGCCCCACTCCTCCAAAGTAGAGGCTGGGTATTTGGGTCCTATAGGACACAATAAAGATGTTTGATCTTTTCTTCTACCTGGGCACATAAGTTACTTCTTGTGGCTTTTGAGCTCCATTTTCTTAAATGCTACTTCAATTGGATTAAGATGAGATAGATTTTCCTTATACGAAACTTTCTTCTGTGCCTATGACCTTGTCTAACTGCTTCTAAGATCACAGGACAATGCCTTAAGTTGAAGAAGAAACTAAAAAAATAAATAAATAAACGTACAGAGATTAAGAAGGTATTTGGCTAAACTTTTTTTTTCCTTATCACAAGAGTCTATAAGCTCTCTAATAGCATTTTAACTTCCTAATGTGTTTGGTATATATCAAAGAGCTTTCAGGCAGCTGATAAGCTTTTGCAATAGTGTTTTGGAAAACTGGTAAAAGATAGTTTTTTATTTTGAAAGGCTTATAAGCTTTATTATAAAAATAAAAATAGAAAACAAAAAAACTCATGCTGACAAAGTAAATGTCTATAATACACTGAAATAATCTTAAGAATTCCAGTTTAAGTCCCAATACTTTAAGCATAATTTGTCATTTTAACAAAACTAAAAGTTCTTTTTGAGATAAAAGTAGTAGATGTGTTAAAAAAGGGCACCAGGGCACCAAGGGGGTACCGCCCATGTACAAAAGAACAAAACTAAAAGTTTTTACCAAACATATAAATAAACTAATGCAATTAATAAGTTTATATTACCCAAGTTATTTAATTTTTTGAAATATATTACCCACATAATTCAATGGCTTATTTCAAGACAACTTCAACGATTTATATACTATTGAGAGAGTTTATAAGCTTGGTAGGTCATACTTAGTGAATGTCGCTAGCAAATTCTTGAGAAAATTAATGGTATACATCTTTAAGCTATGGTATTGTAACAGCCTCCATACCATATTTTTTTTAGATAAATAACAGCCTCCATACCATATGACCAGTATATTGAGAAATTGATGGTATACATTTATAACCTAATGACCTCAAAAGCAATGTCTATGGCACTCTTTGGAAGAAAACTTCGTGATATTATCCCAAAGCATCTCATATTGATAGCACTTGAGAAAAGTTATAGTATATATTCATGGCCTAATAGTCTAAAACATTAGCTAAAACTTGTAACGGATGTACCTGCAGTGTCACCCTCAATATGAATTTCAAAATAAACAGGGATAAAGTTCATGACAAGAACTGTTGGTTAATTGACAAAATTTCATATTTTCCCATACCTTCAATATCAGGCCCGGTGGCTGCATAACTGACTCTCAGGAGGAAGAAGAGTATGAACGATTTTCTGATTGAACAGAACGGGCACCATTTGGAAAAACCTCTAAACATGTACTTGGCTGTAACGTTAGAGCCACTTTCCTTTTGTGACCTCCGACGACCCCCTGGAATTCCAGGCAATAGAAAATATTATCTTCATATCTGTGAAACAATTAAGTTGGATAACTAAATTACCTTTTATCTTCGATTGGAAGAATAAGTATCTTTTTCACTAGTTACATTCTAACACGTCCCCTCAAGTCAAGCAGGATACCTAACTTAGCAAATACATACATAACAAAATGAATGAAAAACAAACATACATTGATGTGCTTAAATGATAACTTCATGACATCTTGATTGAGCGAAATAAGAGGTGAATAATAATGGGCATCAAGTTTCCCACAAGCTTTGAACCAATGACTTTTTACTATAAAGTCATGTAAAAAGATAATTAGGTGAACAATTAAAAGCTTAAGTTGATACGAAATTACTACCAAATTTTATCTGTATTTCAACAACACCAAATTATACAAAATACTAAAATGTGGGAGACTTGGAGCAAGTAGTATATTTATGTGTATCAATTCATTGGAATAATACAACAAAAACCTTTTTTCTTCTGCTCTTTCTTCCTCGTCAATTTTCACCAAGTTAGATTCATACCCGTGATTGGTGCACATTCCCATAATTGACCTTTAAATCAAATACCCAATTGCTCCCTTCAGTGCTTGTACAGATAAACCGTCTCAGGTCAGTGTTAGTGCACCAGTATGTCGAGCATCTGTCCCTGTTCGAAGACAAAATATTTACAGCATCTCTCCCCTGTTTCTGACCGATAACTTGAGTGGGAGAGTTCTGTTAACAAACACCGCCGACTAGCCCGTAACATGAGAAAGGCTACTGTTTCGGGCAAAGAATGATTTGATCCAGCATCGATTACAGATAGAAATTGCCAACTGTGTCATATTGTGCAGTGAGTCCCTGTTTCTAGCCAGAAGAAATCAGCCTCGCTAGAGTTGACCCGTTGCCATATGAGAGCTCACCTGCCAACAGAAGCAGTCGAAAATTGCTGGGCTGCGAATTCGGTCTTGGTGCATCGCTTCATTAGCCATGCTTTCATGCTGTGGTAATTGTCTGCCGGTGAAAGTCTAAACTTAGGGGCTCAAAACAGAGGATTTATTGTGTTTGCAGACGTATGTAGCATGATAAATGTCGCAAAGTGAAGACAAGTGTAGCTGGGCTCAAACCAGTTTTGGTGATTGTTGTTAGACATGCTGATTAGGCTTGATGTACATGGAGATATACATTTACTATCTGCCAATTAAATGGAGTACACACAACAGTCACAGAAACTTTTGATTTTTTGAAAAGAGGTAAATAAATAGACTATTTAACCCAAGGCTAAATGTGTGATCAGACTCGCTTATTTTAGTGTTAAAATATCATCCAACTGAAGAGAGTGTGAATGGAAAGAGAAAGGGTAACAATAAAGCCAAAAGACACTTTGAGTTTGGATCATATGGTAATTCTCTTCTTTTAGAAAAGTGAAGGTTGGAATTTAAAATCTTTCCTAGCACAAACATATTGCATTATATTTAAAAAATAACAATAATAAAATTAAAGGAGCTGTTGAGGTTAGTGCAGGGAAGTTTGGGACTCTTATGAGAAAAAATATGTTTCTTTG